ACATTGGACAGATTTTAAAAAACGATTAAATAAAGATACAGAAAAACGTTTATATCATGGTTGTCGAGAAGAAGCAGCAAATTTAATTATTGAAGATTGTTTTAATAGAAGTTTTGCTGGAGTTCATGGTATCATTTGTTTTTCTATTCCTTTTTCAATTAAATTTTTGCTACTTTTTTTAGGAACAATCTATGGTGTCGGTGTTTATTTTTCATCAAATGCAGCTTACTCTCACCAATATACAAACCCAAATTCACTAGAAGAACGATGTATGTTTCTCGCTCGTGTTCTTATTGGAAAAACAACAAAAGGAAACGGTTCAATGAAAACTCGACCACTTGGATTCGATTCAACAACAGATGGAAATCATATTTTTGTTACTTATCATGATGCACAAGCATATGCTGAATATTTAATTACATATAAATCTAAATAATGTTTCAATATTATATTAATTTACACTTTGACAATGTTTAATTTGACCCATAAATAAATCTTATTATTTTTTTTTATCGAAAAGAATAATCCATTCTCTCATCAATTTTATTGTTTCTGGATGGGTGTTAATCTTGAAATTTTATCAAAAGATTTGTCATTAAATTTATAAACCTATCGTGATTTATCATTTTTAGTATTTATTAGATTCATTGAGCAAATGGGACTTTTCTGTTTGATAGTACAGGATACAATTCAATCATATTTTTGAAAAAGTATATGATCTGAAAGAGTAACCTTTCACCTTCCACCAAGTACCTGTCTTTGCTTCAATTTCTTCCATTTGATGATGAGATGACTACGAGGACTTACAGAAAAAATTCGTAAAACTTTCGAATATTTTACTGTTCGTACATCATTGATAAACGTTCAGAAGTAAGCAAAAGTAACTTGATGCATCACTTGCTATTCCTCTTTCCGAATGCTCTACTTTTTGGAGATTCGGATGCATAACAATCAATTTCTTCAATTGGAACATGCCTTTCACAATTCGATGGGACAAGATTATAACGATGCAGACTTAAAGTGAGCACATACATGGTTGTTTGTATTATTTTCAAACTTTTTAAAAACTGCTCTATGCAAGTTTTGCTTTGCTTACACATATTAGTTATTTATGCACCACCAAAGAGTGACAAATACGAACACTCTCTGAGTTTTCGACGATCGAAAACTAATCGAGTACCAAGCAGTTGTAGCGACTTACTGTGTGTGTGGAGCCGTATCAATATTGACAGATTTGAATCAATTCATTTTTTGAGCTTGCTAAAAATTAGGCAACAGAGATATGCAACATTTTTTTAAATTGAATCAGTATACCCAATACTAGGCTTTAACTTCTCATTCCATATAGATCATATCCAACCAATCATCATTTAACTATTCGGAAGAATAAAATTCAGACATAGATATGCGTGACAACCTATCACTTTGATCGACAACGAGTCCAATGAAAGTATCAAATGATTATCAAAAATAGTTTGTCATTGACAGCACAGTGTGTCGACAAGTTTTCACACTATGCTAATAGAAAACATTAATATTCTATTTTGTGAATGATTTCATCTATGTAAAGTTCAGTTCTTCATTTGAAAATTCAGACTCTCATGAATCTGAAAAGAAAACACATAATGTGCAATATTAGAATATATTTCATGTTTTTCATTTCAACGGAAAGCAGTAGAAATTTCTCTTTTTTTCTATTTTGTTGCTGTAATAATGATTTTGATCATAGTACACTTCATAGCTATCTAAAAGCATCGCGTAATTTCTGTAGAATCATTACTACCACCGACAGTTTGATCAGTCATATTTCCAATTCGGCTATGTAACTGAATACATTCTCTGATGAACTTGTTCCAGTAGCATCGGTTTCGTCAACAGATGTATTAATCCGATAGATCATCAAACAAATTCCTAGATAACGAGAGAATTAATTGTTGCTTATCCTCAATTTATTTGCCTACTACAATCGATTATGGGATACGAAATGAAAATATTCGTGAGAAATTTCAGTGTATCCACATGTTCGTAAATACAAATGTAAATGTCTCTTTTTTTTTTTTAGTCACCATAAACAAAATGCTGTATATCGTACGTAGTTGTGGAGGCTATTCATTCCGTTTGCTTGAACTATTGTGAGGAAACATAAACCATGGAGGAAAGTAATGTTCTTTGATACATTTCTGAAATGGGACCGGATAGTTGAGATCGTGTATAACATTGCCACCGGCAAGCCATACTGCCCACCAACTATACGTTCCTCCTGTAAGAATTGAATGTTCACACAGAGCCAATGCCGCCAAATCATGGCCAAGATGTTGTTTAACGAAAGCCTTATCATCAGAGGCAATTAAAAAACGACAATTCGTGTATTTTTGCCAATAATGATTCATGGCCCAAATGAGATACGAAGGACTTGTATCAATTTTAAAGAAACTCAAAAAATCACCACGACGAATATGTACTCCTATCCATGTGACACGTGGCAAATGAGCCGGCGGATGTAGAAGAAATGATTTGAGTGTATCATGTGTAACTTGGCTATTATTGCTTCGGAAGTTGATCGAATATTTCCATACGGCTACTTCTCATTTGCGATCATAATTCAAATAAAATTTTGAAATATTATGAAGATTTTAAATTTTAGTAAATATTAAAATAAAAATCTCAAACTGTTAGTCTTTCCAAAACGAAAAATTTAAATTAATTTAATTTTCAAGTTGTCGTTGATCAATGCTTCTATTTGAAAATTTTCACTTTCAACTTAAAATCCCATACAGTTTAGCAAGATACAGAATTCGCTCGTGTTTTCAATGCAGCTTCTATCTATAGATTTAGGAAGATGTAGAGTTCGCTGCGGTTTTCAATGCAATTTCAATTATAAATTTAGGAAGATGTAGAGTTTGCTGCTGTGTTCTATGCAATTTCTATTTCTCAATTTAGGAAGATGTAGAGTTCGCTGCTGTTTTCAATGCAATTTCTATCTATAAATCTAGGAAGATGTAGAGTTCGCTGCTGTTTTCTATACAATTTCTATATTTTAGTTGAGGAAGACGTAGAGTTCGCTAGTGCTTTCAATACAATTTTATATTTAGTTTAGGAAGATGTAGAGTTCGCTAGTATGTGTAGCATAAATCTAACTGAATGTAAAAAAGATTTAGAAGTGTCGCATGTAGTCTGTTTGAAGCTAAGTGAATGCGGTCTGAAAGTGTCACTTCTTATTTTGAAAGATTAGTGTAAGAAAACTGCAGCAAAACAAAATTAGTTTCACATTTCTAGCGATTTGATTCAGAAAGCTTTATCAGCTCTGGATTAATTATGAATTTTGCTGCTTCACCAAAAATAAGATTTTATAAGTGGAATGTAGTGTCGAATAAATTGTTTTAAAAAATGTCAATGAAATCTTGTCGCATTTTAAACTAGGTCACTGAAATAGGTTGATCATGTGACTTTTTTTTATAAAACCTTTTTCGGAACGTAGCAAGATCATAGATATAGTTTATGTACTATGAATCTTAATCTTAATCAGGAACGCTTTTAGGAAGGTGATTTACTTAATTTTCATATTGAAAAACAAACGCTAATATAGCTCGAGCAAGGGGCGAAAAAAAAAAGAAAGTTTTGATGAAGATCGAAGGGAGATTTTGAATTGTTTCTCTAATGTTCCCCAAACATGATTCAATATCCAATCAAAATGTGACCTCGGTGGACGCTAGTTTGAAGAGAACTCGAATACCAACACCTAAATCTTGTCCCGTTTACATTTTTTCCACAGTTTTCGTTGTTGAATAATTATATTTTTCGGTTTCAATTAATTTCTTTTCAATGGACTGTTGATCTTATGTGATTATAGAAACTAAATGGAGTTCCAATACAAAACAGGCTTATGACGTTCATATTGGTAATTCGGTCTCATGAACTCTACATATGACACTTAGTTTAGAAGAAGAAGAGCACTACGTAGTTTAGCGCATTTTACTAATAAGAGCTGAATACATTGAAACCCTGCAAGCATACATCAAGCGAACTCTACATCTTCCTAAACTGAAATATAGAAATTGCAGAGAAAACAACAGTGAACCCTACATCTTCCTAAACTAAAATATAGAAATTGCATAGAAAACAAGAGTGAACTCTACATCTTCCTAAACTAAATATAAAATTGTATCGGAAGCACTAGCGAGCTCTACATCTTCCTAAAAATAAATATAGAAATAGCGTAGAAAACAAGAGCGAACTCTACAAATTTTAATTCTTCAAACAAAATGGCTGTTAAAATTCGTTTCGGTAAAAATTTTAAATAATAAAAGCAAACGATTTTGATTTTTGGAGTTCTTTTCAAGAAATGAGTTTTAACGAATTCAAAATCGAAAATTAAACACTTTCAACCGTTTTGAATCTGAAAAATTAAAATTAATTAAAAAATGAAGTATAATTTAATTTAATAAACTTTGAGTTTTCGACTTTATGTTCGCACATGAGAGGATACGGTTGGGAAGGTTCCCTTGTAAGTCGAAAATAAGAAATCCAGTTCTATTAAATTTTGCAGCATAATTTTCTCTTCAGTTTAACATTTTTCTGATCCTTCTTATACGTAAAATGGCTGAGAAGTATTAGATGCACCATTAGAAAAATAAGATAAAATCTCGTTTTAAGAAAACCGCCAAATAAAGTCTGTAATTGGAAACTAATGCTTTTGTTTAGTTAAACGGCAGTGGAAACAAATACATCATAGTCTACCATCGGATATTAGCCAGGGTGGATCGAACGAAGACTTTCAAGTACTTCTATGGCGTCTAAAAATCTGGATTGAAAAGAGAATACACATATGATGTACAGGTATTCATGTCATTCATTCACACTCATACTTACTCTAATTAAATGAGCACTGGTAGAAAAGTAAACATAGAGCTCAATTTTATTTGCTCAAAGGCTTGCAACACTTTTTATTTTCCATATTTTTACTAAATTTTCTATTATAGAAAATCTTAGAAAATGTTTAAAACGTAATAACAAATAACATTTTCAAAAACACTGATTTTTCATGATTCCAGCATGACCAATAAATCCTGTGTAAAGAACATTAAAAAGCATCAGAATTCAAATAATACTACTTTCGCAAGTCGTCAGCGAAGCCTTGAAAATCTCAAAACTAATCTTTTCGACAGAAGTCATAATTTTTGACAGGAGAGAAGGAACCTTAATATTAAAAAAGAAATTATCTCTACATGCATCACTGTCATTCTATGCGCATAAGAGTCATCCATTTGAATCACTGATTTTTTAAATCTGTATATAATATTTAATGTTTTATTAGTAACTAAAATGAAATGATTATTTGTTTCAATTATTCTCGTTTATTCTATTGATTTCTAAGTTTGATGAAATCATTGGGTTTTTTTTTAATGAGTAATATTATGATGACAACCTGTTTTTCTT